TGTATAAGTCCACGCAGAATGGGCACACAGAAATGGGTGGATTGTAAACAGTTAGCCGCCCTAACCCGGCAAACAAATATTGAGTTACCTATATTTGGACAGTGAGCAGCTTTCCAGTACTGCTACCAATAAAATCTCTGTTCATCAAGTACCATTTCACCTTGTTTAGAACATGTAGTGCTGCAGATTATTTTACTTTGAGCACATTTGGAATTTAGCAGTTTGCACATGCTACATGTTTTTATGACTGTGCACTATGCATGTTCATAAAGCTTGATCTTATTTTCAGTATGTTCTTTATGAATAAACCATAACTGCACTACGGGAAAATGTTTTACGTAGACTCTTACAGTGCATCGGTCTATAAGTCTGGCACTGCTAAATGTACCAAGAACAAACTATTAAAGCAGTGAAGCTGCCCTTGGTGTTTATGACCCAAAGTTATGGCACTGAAAAGACAATGGCCGGGCACCTTGAATAAGCACTTTAACCCCTTAAAATCACAGGCTTATTACATACTAAGGCTTATTATTCAGTAACTATGAGGACTTCAATGCAAACTGGCTGAGTTGTTCTTAGTTATAGAAGTGTGTGATAAAACTTTGGGCCTGCCAGTGGGCCCTGGCCATTTAAGGGGTTAAAAAAGCAGCTGAAATTGAATTGAATTTTATTTTTTAAATGTATCCCCATCTTCTATGCCCTTCAAATTCATCAAGAGTTCTTTCGTAAAGGCAATGGTTGTATACGTAATAGAATATCTAATAATATTAGTACATATGTAGATCCATGAACACTCAATGCATACATTGTTATTTACATGAGTGAATGGTTCTTCTCCATGAAGGAAAACCTGTTTTAAAAATGTTTCTACATAGCACCAAAAATTGGTTCCACCATCGATGTAAGTCATACAATGTTTCCTGGTACTGCAGTGCCTTCCATAAATATTGGCACCCCTAATAAACATGAGCAAAACAAGCTGTAAACATAATTCTTTATTACTTATTTCTTTTGATCTTTTATTTAAAATGAACAAAAATATAACCTTTATTTGAAGTACAATGGTTGAAATATTGTATTCTCAAGTCTATGTGTCACAGTTGTTGGCACCCCTAGGAATTTTTTTTTTTGAGTGACATCTAACTGAAGTATGTTCTCATTCATATGTTATATTTTATATTATAGTTCATCTGAGTCATCAGGAACACTTAAATGGTCATCTATGACAATCTCAATCATCCATCACTACAAGTAAGACCAGAGAATACAGCAATGATAAGCGACAGTGTTGAGATGCACAAATCAGAAAATGGCTACAAAAAATAGCTAAACAGTTGAAAATGCCTACACTATTAGGGCAATAATTAAGAAATTTAAAGCTTCTGCTGCAAAAAGGATGTGTATTTATATTGACCCCATGTACAAGGAGGAGGAGGGTTTGAGTGGCCAAAAAATCTGCAAGAATCACAGTTTAGAAATTGCAAAAATTAGTTAGGTCTTATGGTCAGAGCATCTCCCAAACTACAATCAGATGCCACCCACATAACCACAAGCTGTTTAGGAGAGTTGCCAGAAGAAAGCTTCTGTTGTGAAAGACCAACAAACTCAAGCGCCAACAGTTTCCTAGACATTACTGGAACTAGTGTCCTATGGTCAGATGAGACCAAAATGGAGCTTTTTGGCAACAAACTCCAGAGGTGAGTTTGGTGTAGACACAAAGATAGTCATGAGGAAAATTACCCCAGTGTGATGTGTCATAGTGGGGCTGCTTTTCTTCCAAAGGCCCTGGACAACTTGTCCAAATATATGGTTTAATGGACTAAATCAAGTACCAGCAGACATTAAATCAAAACCTGACTGCCTCAATCAGGAAGTTTAAACTGAGCTGTGGTCAGATCTTCCAGCAGGACAATGATCCAAAACACCCCTCAAAAACAACACAAAGAATGGTTCAATGACCACAGAATCAATGTTCTGCCAATATTTGTGGAGGGTACTGTAAATACAAACCCATTTCCAAAAAGTTGAGATCCTGCGCAGAATGTAAATAAAAGCAAAATGCAATAATGTGCAAATAATTTAAACCCTATATTTCATTGCAAATAGTACAAACACAACACATCAAATGTTGAAACTAAGAACTTTTATTGTTTTTTAAAAAATATTTAGAATTTGATTCCTACAACACATTCCAAAAACGTCGGGACGGGGGCAACAAAAGGCTGGTTAAGTTGTGTAATGCTAAAAAAAAAACACTTGAAGGTTAATTGGCAACAAGTCAGTAACATGATTGGGTATAAAAAGAGCAGCCCAGAGAGGCTGAGTCTTTCATAAACAAAGATGAGGAGGGGTTCACCACTCTGTGAAAGACTGCATGATCAAATAGTGCAACAATTCAAGAATAACATTTCTCAACATAAAACAGCAAAGACCTTTTGCTTTTCATCATCTATGATACATAACAACATTAAAAGATTCAGAGAATCTGAAAAAAATCTCTGTATGCAAGGAACAAAGCCAAAAACCAGTATTTGCTGGCCGTGATCTTTGGGCCCTTGGGCAGCACTGCAGTAAAAACAGACATGATTCTGTAGTGGAAATCACTGCATGGGCTCAGAAACACTTCTGAAAACCACTGTCTGTGAAAACAGTTTGTAGCTGCATCCATAAATGAAAGTTAAAACTCTAAAACACAAAGACGAAACCACACATGAATAGGATCCAGAAATGCTGCCACCTTCTCTGGTCCTGAGCTTATATAAAATGGACTGAGGGGACATAGAAAGTGTTCTGTGGTCCGACGAATCAACATTTGAAAATTTTGTTGGAAATCATTGACACTGTGTCCTTCAGGCTAAAGACCACTCAGCTTGTTATCAGTGCACAGTTCAAAAGCCAGTATTCATGATGGTATAGGGGTGCATTAGTGCACATGACATGGGTGACGTGTACATAGCTTAAATCCTGTATGAAACAAGAACGGAAAACATTTCACTTTCTAAACTACAGCACTTGGTCTCCTCAGTTCCCAAACGCTTACAGAGTGTTGTTAAAAATAGAGGTGATGAAACACAGTGGTAAACATGCGTATTTTGAATTTGAAATTCACAATAGGCATATATTTTTCAAAAAACAATAACATTTCTCAGTTTCAACATTTGATATGTTGTCTTTGTAGTATTTTCCTTTAAAAATATGGTTTACATGATTTGCATATCATTGCATTCCGTTTTTATTTACATTCTGCACAGCATCCCAACTTTTTTGGAAATGGGGTTGTAGAACCTTTTTAGGAAAATCAGTTTTATGATTGATTATTTTAAGACATATTGTGACATAGAGGGGTTTTCACAAGAAACTTGGACAACTCGATGTTGTAATCCATAACTCGGCTTTACTCGACTAACTCAGAAAACGGCACACAGAAAGGGAAAACACAGCTCTCAGGCTAGCTCACAGCTCTGACAGTTAGCTCACTCTAACTCTGTAGCTGTTGTAGATGTCTTCCATGGTTTTTATTGTTTTTTTTTGTTTTTTTTTACTGTTCTTGGTATTTCTTTTTATGTGCTTTTCATAGTTCTTTTTCATTAGAATCTTATAATGTTCCCTCTTAAAGCAATTGTTTGGCAAAAACTCTAGCTTACATGCTTTTCCACTTATTATAAATGTAGTCAATCAGTTAAGGCATGTTTGCTGCCAAATTTGACTTATTCAGTTTTGCACTGGAGCTGAGAGGTTAATTTTGCTAACAAACACTGGAAGTCAATAGTCATCCAAATCTTTTTTTTTGTAAATACATTCCCAAAAACTTCTCTTAACTCAATTAAATTCCATCCAGGTCTTCATTAAAGCCTCACTGGCTTGTAGATGTCATTTAGGAAACAGTATCACTTACTGTGAGCTACAGTTAGAGCTACAATGAACAAAACCTCATCAGTGGACAGTACCACAGCCATCCATTGGCTGCAGTCCAACAGAGCATAACTAGAGAGGGATGACCCTCCCTCTCCCACCATCACTCAGCATGATGCTAGTTAATGCAGACCTCTGTTAGCTAACAGAATGTAACAGAATTGTTAGTGCTCTTCTCCAAGCGTGTTGAGCTGTCCAGTGGCACTGCATTAGCAGCGGATTGAAAAGATGCAGTGGCACTTCACGTGTCATGGAGAAAGATGTGTATTGTGCTAGCCTTCACTTTACCAGCTAAGTAGCAGTGTGTAATAGAGGGATTATGGAATTGGCAAAAACTAATACAATTAATAAATAAATGATTAAAAATAAAGGTGGCAGAAAGGGTTCTGTGTATATCTTTAAAAAGTTCTTCACACTTACACATCACATTTGCGAGCATGGTTCTTTAGGGAACTTTGTCTAAAATGGCTGCCTACAGCGTTCCGCTACACAGTGATATTTTGTTTATTTTACAGTTCACAGTAAGTCATACTGTGTCTTACACAACATTAGGGTGGAAAGATTAGGGTGACTATTGACTTTAACTGTTTGTTGGGAACATTAGCCTCATAGGTTCAGTGCTAAACTAAAGAAGCAACATTTGGACACCAAGGATTTCATGACTGACTGACTGGGGAATTTTGCAAATTGTAATTTTCACAGAACAGTTCCTTTGAGCAACCACTTTCTGTTTAAAAGATACAATATTCTAATAAAGTTTATCTTTATTATTTTGCTTGTATCACTTACTGTTACATGTCAGGGGAAATGGAAAGTTTGTAGTCACTGATCTAAATGTGTACTGGGAGAAAAGATCAGGCTCTCAAGCTCTCATTTCCTTGGGGTGCAGTTCTCAGCTATGCCGCTGTACATGAGAATCAATCTGATTGGCTGAGAGCCCTGTCAGTCAGCTCACAACTCTCCTACAGTGTCCTGCCAGTGGGCGGGCCTGCTAATCTGTCATTGGCAATGCAAGCGTGGGCGGAGACAAAACGGAGGTGTCTGCGCTCTTCTCTGTCTGTGAGCCTCTTACGCTTTTCACACCCCCCCCCATCTCCCTCCCTCCTTCCCCCCTCGCTCTCTCCCACCCACGCCACCTGCCCTTGAGTCTTAGCCGCCGTTAGAATAGCAGAGCAGCTGGAATCCTCTGCTTCTTCACAGACTACAGCCACTGCCCTCTCCCTCTGTACTCTCTTTTCATCTTCCAGCCTGTTACATCCTCGTCCTCTCCACATGCCTGCAGGGCTTTATCTTCTTCTGCCGGACTGACCCGTGATAGGATGGGAGGTGCCGGTGCCAGCTCTGTGTGGCACATGAACGTGCTTGGCTGTGCTGTGAGGCGGGCCGTCCTGGGACAGGGATGCTGAACGGGGGGCGTGAGGGTCTGTTCGAGCTGGGCAGGCAGCTCCAGCGGGAAGGCGACTCGCAAGCCGCCCTGCACTGCTTCCTCAGCTGTCTGCTCGGCCTGACCCATGTCCAGAGCTTCCACTCCCTGCCCAACTGCCTGCATCAGGTGAGCCTCAACCTGCAGAACCTGCAGCTCTATATTCTGATGAATCTGATAACTGAAATAGATTTAAAAAATGTTGTTTTGTTTGTATATATCTTTAAGACCAATTACATACTTACATAGTTACTTACCTATATAAGCCTATATATCTCTATTTGAAGGCTGCTTACATAGTTATATATATTTGTATATATCTTTATGTGAAGGCCACTTACAAAAGGACTTCATTACACATGAATAAGCTTTTAATGACCTTTTTAAAAAGTGTTGATTGAGTACTAATAAAAAGGCTGTGTCTATGTCTTATGCATAGATGGTATGAGGTGTTTAATTACTGGCCATGAATTGGAGATGGAGTGTGAGCATCTTTTATGCACATTATCTCTTATGTCAAAACAATGTAATTTACTACATTATGTAAATACCAGCATAGGCTGTTCATAAATACTCAAGTTTTGCTTCCTAAGGTTATTTAATCCTTATGCAAGTGCATGAATACCCTTCAGCTAAAGTCTTAACAAAACATAGTTGATTTGAATGCAGTATGAAGACAGCCATTGCACTGAGCACTCTTTCTACATTTAGTTGACAGACTGCACTCATTACTCACTCCACACAGCAGAAGGCAAACGTGCCGCTTAGGATGTGTTATATGGCTACCTGAATGGGGTTGGATATGAATTGGTATTCTCAAAATAGGCTACAACAGTTATGTAAAGCTCGGGCACACAAAAGACATCATATTTGACCTAGATTCATCTCTGCATGTATGACATGGATGCTCAGCGTGCATGCGCAGGGACATGCATGGGAACGTGCACAGCATTCACGTACGTAAATAGGTGGTACACAGAGATCCGCACACGTTAGAGCTCTCAAGGTGTGTTAACATGTTCACACATTCTGTTACTCAAGCACAGATTGTGTGTAGAGTGTGTACTTGTTGTGATGGCACACTAACCTAAATCAACCAGGTACAGCGAAATGTTTTCAGAATGCCAACCAGTCCTTGCATATTTTACATGGACCAGTGCATTTTCAATTACTCACAGCATGACTAGCTGAAGACTGAAAGCATTCACATTTTTACGTGAGATGTTACACACATACATATGCACATACATTATTTTCCAAAGAGACCAGCACTCGTTTATTTAATTACAGACAAAATAGCCAATAAGTACAAAGTTACTGGTGACACTTTATTTTGAGTGGTCCTTTTTAAAATGAAACAAACACTCAACGGACTCTCAGTAACATGTCAAAAACATATGAGTGTTAGGATTAGGTTTTGGGTTGAAGTTAAGGTTAGGGTTAGGATTAGGGCCAGGGTTAGGGTTAGGTTTTGGGTAAGGTAAGGTTTTGTGTAATGGAAATAACATATTAACAAATCATCTACTAATGTAAGTAATGTATCAACAGTACAGCTACAAGATATTTAATTCAATGTATTCAGATGCTTCGCTACTGCTACTTCACTGATATGTTGATGTGTTACTGATAATCTTTTAAGAGTTTATTAATCATCTAGAAGATCTGATATAAGACAATCCAAAACATTATTAAAAGATATAGAGAAAGTCTCTTAACAATCACGAAAGGCCTGGTAGACCACCAAAACTGTCACTGTCAGATAAACAGTACTTGAAGCTTCATGAGCAAAGAAATGCAACCAACTTCTAAGACTGAACATAGGTGGTGTAAAAAACTATCTTTGCAGATTTCTGAAAAAGCTGAAAGCAAGTCTTCTGAAAAAAAGAATGAAAGCCATAATAACTGCAAAGGTTGGACACACTAAACTAAATACTAAATATTTCCTGATGCTAAAAAATGAAGAACTTGTACTTAATGGTCATTTTGACTGGAAATTAAATAAATGAGGGTGGTCTCCGACTGTTACACAATACTATGTATGCTATATTAATGTGTTTGTGTGTTAAAGAAGAATCAGCACATTTGCTGGTGAGAGAACAGCGAGAAATAAACTTTAAATGAAAAGTGGTGATCGTAGGTCTATGTGAAATGTATCTTCTGGTGTGCTTGATGCTGTATCAAAAACTTAGCACTGGCTAGTAGATTTATGCATTCTGCACTAGAGAAAAAAAGCATAATCAGCTGTTCATCAGTGTTTATACACCACGTCCTCCTAAGTTCTCCAGTGAGCATAGCCTTCTCTAATCTAGATGCGGACATGACTGTTTGATGACAGTTAGTCAAATAACAGCCCAGATAACTTGGTGTTGGCCTCACAGAGTTTCTAGCGAGTCCTATCAGCCAGTCCTGTCTGAACGTTACAAGTGTCCCAGGAAATGGAGTGCATATAAACAGTAACCCTTATACAAGCGTAAAGGAATGTCTGGAATTACACTCTCCAGAGTCTAGCCAAGAGTGCTTCAGCTCCAAGGTGCAGGAGGATTTTCTCTCATCTCTCATTACAGCATTCCAATATAAAGTTTACAGAAATGTATCATGAATACTTTGACATTGTCTAAGTAAGAGGTGCTTAGATGGCTAGAATTAGTTTTGTTTGGGTTTTTTGGGAATCATTATTGCTTTGCCATGAGATCGCCTTCTATGAATCTCCAATAACCCCCTGAATGGCCAGTGGGTCCAGACTTCAATTGCACTCTTATAACTTAAGATTAACTGACTCAGTTTGCATTGTTTTCCTTATAGTTACTGAATAATAAGCATCAGGATATAATAAGTCTAAGAGTTTGAGGGGTTTATCATAACAACAGATTATGACTAATAGATGATCTGTAGTCACAAAAGGCTTTTTTTCTCTCTTTGATAGATTGCGGAACTCTTCATTGATGAGAAGAATTGTATCCTTTTCTGTGAAGCGCAAGCAATGATCCACTGCTGGTACTTTTTATCCAGTATGTTGATACGAAGGTCTAGAACAGAGGTCACCCTAGTCTTGCAGGACCGGATGTGATCTTGTAACAGATTTACATGTCTAAGGACCACCTGTTGAACTTTTGTTGATGGACTTTGGTGAAATTAGCCATGGGTGGGCCACCTCTAAAACCCACCCCCCCAAACTCCTTTTATCTATTTACCATGAATGCAAAATCCAATAGTTTTTTTCTGCACATAGCTCTCAGTTCTTTCATCACTTTTATTTACTCCGGTAGTATTATCATAACTGTGAATGGCAAAGACCACATACAGTTGCCAGTGATCTGCTGTTATCTTTTATCACCAGTCCAGTAGTTTCTTTTAAAACTAATGCCTAGTCTAGTAAAACAGAACTAACAAGAGTCTTGTTCATTTACCATATATAATGTGTTCTCTGCACATGCAACACACATCTACATGCTTGATTAAAGTTTTTTATGGGGACTTTTCAGCCATGCTATCTTACATTACATCTAGGGGCTAATAGCAGGCTTGATGTCCATCTGAGAAAGTTGATGAGCCCACCATCTCCATTACTTTGAGCTCCACCTTTACAGGCAGGATTGATTTAGAAAGTCCACACTCAGTTTGTTCCCACATTAATACATCTGCATTCCCAACCACATTTAACCCACATTTAAATTTCTCATAGTTGTCCCCAGATGTTCTCACTATGAGATCATGTCTGGCCCTGCAGTGCTTAAGATCATCCAGAATTCCAGCGCTGTGGGGCTGGATCCAACACAATTTGGTGATTTTTCTGTTCAAAATCACTTGGTTCAGTTCATAAGTTAACTTCTAGGCTTAGCTGGTGCTCAAATTGTGAGGGACACCTTCCAGGACCAGAACTGATGATCCTATACTCCTTTCTGTGTTTTCAATCCACACCAGATCTGCAAACATCCTTATGAAATGCTTCACTGCAAAACATTATTTACAGATATTTAGTTATGAGGCACCTCCTAGTGAAGGCCCACATCAGATGACCAAAATTTGCACTAAATCTACATATCTATTTAATTCACTTACAGGCTTTGCATGCAACAGTCATGAGATTTTAGGAGGAAGTCAAACAGTGCCTCTGTCCTGCACACCCCAGCTTTGACACAGAGCTTTGTGGTTGTGTTTTTTTTTCCTCCTAAGAGGATCTGCAAGCCTTTATCATTAGTCAGCTCAAAGAGCATCAGAGCTAATTAACCTGGGTGGACCCAGCCTGTGCTCCACTCCCACCATTCATCCACAGAGTGCTGATAACCGCGAGGCTTGTGTTATATGATATACATTCCTCCTTAAACTAGTTGCCCCTAATTACAAAGACATATAGTTTATATGAGTCTCACATTATCAGCTTCCACTAATGGGTCATTTCTGAAAGAGCCAAGATAGCTTGGCTCTCGACTCCATGACAAAGCTTTAACATAAAAGATGTTAACATGTGTTAGAATAATTGTTCTAGCACTTTTAATAAGGTGCTGGAAATGAATGATAAGTTATAACAATCTAGTGACTTTTATCATTTAATTGGACAGTTTAATAAGATTTGGAGAGTTATTTTGCATTGTCTATGCATAAGATTGGAGGTGATGAGGGGAACGAGGGCAGGGCAAAACCAACGGTCATACTGAGTGTGTGGAAACAGTAGTAAATGTAGATTTGATCTATAATGTTCTCATTTACTCTAAGATTACAGACAAAGGTCTTATTCACCCCCAAAGCTATAGACTCGAAGCCAGACATTACAAGTGGCTTGGGCCTTATTTCAGAACTGGAGGAGGAGATTACCTTGGATAATTATCATGCCATTAATCTAAAATGACCTCCACAAACAAAGGAAAAGTGAGGTAGACTACCGATCTATTGTTTTCTTTTCATGGATCTTTTCTTTGTGTCTAAATTAGGGGTGCCAAAAGTTTTTTTGTTTTTTTTTTCCTGGGGGGGCAGTGTTTGTTGTGGGCCAAGCACCAAAAAGACAAACAATATTCAAATAAAGAAGGTAGGTTTCAAACCAAGCTTTTAAAAAAGTGTTTCATAACATTATACTATATTTTATTGCTGAAATACTTTACAAATTCCATTATAAAAAGAAGATAAGACTGGAATAAGTTATATATAGTATGTCTTATTGGATGAGGGTGTGGGAGTAGAGTAATTTAGGGTAACATGGGCCACATTTTGGGTCACCCTGGTCTAAAGCGATCCCTGTCATTTTGCTACATTCATAATTTGTTCAAAACTTCTCAGTATGCTGTAAGATGACTAAATAGGATTTAAAATTGTGTAATTCAAAGCATTAGGTCATCAAGGTTATATAGATTAAGTGCACAAGTACAGAGAGGTCATCCTAAATGTCCTATAGTGACATAGCTTAGCTTTAATTAGCTACTAACTTATCACTAATGCCACTACAATATCACTTCACTAGAATGTCTCCCCTCAAGGTTGGCTGCACACAACCAGCTTAATATCATGTGACTTTTGCCATGACAGTTCAGTTAAGGTTTCTGACAGTAGGAATAATATATCTCAGGTTTAGAGGTAGTAGCTTGTTGCTATTCTGAGTATTATTTGACATCACATACTAATACAGTTGAATGGAAATCCATTCCAGTCAATGTGTGTGATAATATGCCATTGTACTGATAGAATAGGATATATTTGGATATACAGTACATTATGGAATACTTGTAATCATAAAGCGACATATTACCAGAACCTCTAATAAAATGCAATTTAAAATACAAAGAATTTTTAATAATCATTTAACCCCTTAAATGGTCAGGGCCCACTGGCAAGGCCAAAGTTTTATTACACACTTCTATAACTTAAGAATAATTCAGCCAGTTTGCACTGAAGTCCATGTAGTTACTGAATAATAAGCCTTAGTATGTAATAAGCCTGGGATTTTATTTTTTATCTATGTTTATTTTCATATATGCTATAGCTATTCAATCATAATTTATTTCAGATTCAGCTGTTTATGCAAAAGTCACTATTATGATGTTATGAAAACTGTATTAATCCTCAAATTATTAAACATTTACCATAGTATTTATTATACAAACATTTCATATTATCTCAGCCTTAGTGCATCTTTTCTGATTAGGATAGCATGTTTAAAAACACTTCATTCAGGACCCCTTTAATGAAGCTCAGTGTGGGCTTGAAAGATCCATTGTTTAAACTGTAATCATTTCTGCTTGAAGTCAATACAAATTTGATTTGTTCCAGGCCTCACTGTACTTAATTTAGTTGATTACAAGCATGCATAACAAGCAGTTCCTTCACCTTCAGCCTGCTATGTACAATGTTAGAACTCCCAAGCCACATCCAAATCCGCCCCACCCAGCTGCACGCTAAAAATACACCAGGAACTCTTGGGAATATGTGTCACATTCCAGAAAAAGATCATTGTGTATTAACAGCTTTAGCACAAACAGTACAAATGAACTCTAATGACGATTCCCACATGAGACTAAACGCTGGTTATAAAATAGCTCATTTTAGAACAGTAGCTTCTCGCCAGCTAGTTCCCTCTTGGCACCCGTGCATATTGTTTGGGAGCGCTGAGCTCTCGCCTAGAATTCAGTGTCGTCCTGGCACCTGAAGATGTAGAGCCATTATGCTGCTGCCATCTTTCCCACTCAGTCACATATTGAACACACTGACTGAGTTAGCAGTAATAGTTTTACTTGTCACTCAAATCCAATATGAATACCACAGCTATAACACTTAACTGAAGAGTACCTCTCAGAAGGATTCCTCCTTAACCCTCAGACACCCATTTACAGTTTTTTTAATGTATTTTATTTTTTTCCCAGGGTTTAGTTTAGTTTATAAATATTACATGGTTTTAATAACCATGTCCCTTAGAATTAAACAGGATGTTTTCACACTCTCCCTCTAAAACTGTCTTATGTAAATGATCTCTTCTGATTGGATGCCCTGTATTGTGCCTTGTTGAAAAAGCAGCCCAGGCTGAAGCACTCCTTATAACTTCAATCATAATGGGTGAAGCTAAACTGTTTTAGGCTGAATAGCTGGATAAATGTAAATGTGTTGGTTTTCATGACATCACAAAAGCATAGAACTCAAAATACGCACTTTAGTTTCTATATATGGCCATTATGAACTGAGGAGCCATATATATATATATATATATATATATATATATATATATATATATATATATAAAACCAACACATTTACATTTATCTTGAGCCTCACTCTTAACACTGGAGGAGGCTTTAGTACAGTATGCTTCACTTTACTTAGAGTGGACAAATATGACTTATGAGCTCTTATAATTTGTTATGATCAGTATTTATAATGTATTATGTTAACAATTCATAATGCATAATAAACATGGCTATAACGTAATGCATTTTTATAAATATTTATAGCTATGTTTATAATGTCTTATGAATGCATTATAACATGTTATGAATGTGTTTATAGATGCTTAAAAAATGTGACATTCATAGAAAGTGTTACCGAAATATGTATATTTCATTAGCAAAATCAGTGCTTGGGTTTTGAGTGTTTGTTGGGTTTTGTACTGTTTCAGTTAAAAAAATAAAATTTCCACAATTTTCCCCTAAATCTCTTCAATCTGCCAAGACAAAACATTTTCTATCCAAACAAGCCCTTCTACATTTATGACTGACAGTACAGACACAATTCAGGCTTCAAGACACTCCCAGAGTTTTTAGCTAAATGACATACATTTGTCCATTTTAATAGATCATAGCCCCGGTGCAAAACTACAGCTCCAGTACTTTGAACGGTCATGACTGATCAACTATGTTTGGAGTAAGAGAAAAATTGTGTAAATTTGATTGTTTCACCAAACTATCACTTTACAATGTACCTTCTTTGTCATTCAGAGTTATTTTCACACTTTGTGATACGAAAATAGAAACATTTGCTCGTTGTGACACGTGACTGTGTTATGTCCCACTCTGAAGTGGGTCATTCAGGTTTATTTTAAGAACATTTTCCTTTCCAAACAAACAGACTTTAATGACAAGTACAAAGTATCGTCTTACAAAGAATGTGCTTTTTATTTCCTCCCACATGCTCTCGTGTATGTCAATAAACTCTTAAATGCATGTCTATTATTAGTTCCCACACATGTTTTGTATCTTTGTATGGACAGAGAGATACACAAAGAGCACTGGCCAATCAAAACTGCAGACAAGGCACAGTATAACAGTATAGCTAACACTGTTACTTATATGAAGCTCTATTCCTTGATGGGAAAGGTAGCAGGCGCTACGGCAAAAGCTGATTAAAATTCATAGAAGTTTTTTTTTGTATTTCCTTTGGTCACACAAAGTGGCTGAACAAATCTGAATTTAAATACAGTGTGAGTCACTGAGCTGTGTGTGTGTGCGTGTGTGTGTCATCATAACAACCCGCTAATCCCTGTGACAAGCATGGCTGATCCTTCACTCATATAAAACAGATGAGAAGGCGCTGAAGTTCATTCAGGCAGAGAAGATGTTCTATGAAGTGGCATTGATCGAGCTCACCGCTCTGCAGGGGAGCACAGGCAAGTCTGCTTTACGACTTTTGCTTCTTTTGCGCTGCTTGCTTCTTACTATTAGAGACCCTATGAACTTTACTATGGGACTATAGGGTCCAGGGTGCATGAGAGTATACAGTATTAAATTACTATGGAGAAGAATTTTCCTGTACTTAGTAAACCCTTTGGCTCAAAAGACACTTATAATAGAAGTCAATGGTCAGTCATATTAAAGGAAAACTCCAGCACATTTCAACCTAATCTCCATCTGCTGCATCTGTAGCATACACTAGCCTAGACAATCATTTCTCTATACTTAGGAAACCCAGAAAACATTTACATTTACAGCATTTAGCAGACATTCGTATCCAGAGCGACTTACAAAAAGTGCTTTGTCTATCTAGAGGAAGTATCTTTGCTAGTTACAAATAGGTTAGAGAGAAAGCCAGTCCTGAGCTCAGATACTGCTAGAAACAAAAGTCCCTGTTGATACCCAGAGAAAAAGGAACAGAGTTAAGCACAGCGCAGTTCAATACAATACATTTCAATAAGTGTAGTACCATATACTACAATGAATACTTAACTCAGTGCTCATTTAAGTGCTGTATAAACAGATAAGTCTTCAGTCTGCGTTTGAAGACCGTGAGAGACTCTGCTGTTCGGACAGCTAGTGGGACTTTGTTCCACCACCTGGGTGCCAGTACAGAGAAGAGTCTTGATGCTTGTCTTCCACGAATGTTGAAGGGTCAAACCGAGCTGTACTTGAAGCTTGAAGGGCTTGGGGTACAGTTTGAATTTTGACCATTGCCAAACCCCTTGGCTTGGAAAACACTCATAACAGAATCAACGGGCAGGGGCTAAGGCAACACATTTTCTGTACTTATACAAAGTACAAGGAAACACATCAAAATTATTGTCATTGGTAAATGACCATATGCTGCAGATTTGGTAGTTAGAAATTAGGTTGAAAAATGCTGCAGTATTCCTTGAACACTTTATGGCACTTAAACATCTGAAAACAAGGCAGTAACCCTGTAAAAGTATCTGCGCACACCTATAACTTAAGAGTAAGTAGCTAGTTTGCATTGTTGTCCATTGTAGTTGTAATTACATTGTATTTTTACATGTAGTCGTAGTCAGTATTGTAGTTACATTGTAGATACTGAGTATTAGGCCGTAATAAACTCTAAAAAGATTTTAAGGAGTTCAGTATGTACATAGCCAGTCAGAATGATTCGCATGTAGTCAGATCTAATGATTTGATAGCAATTTTGCAATGCCTTTGTGTTCTAAATCACAGAGACAAATACCAGAGAAGGTATTTCTGATTGTAATGGCAGTGCCCGTGCTATTTTAGGTTATTTTATATTTGCTCCGATAATCACAGTGCACAGCTGGGATGAGTGCAGGGCTGTAAGCTACAAGAATAAGCATTCTGTCATGCCATACCTACACAACTGAGCTGAGCCCCTGATCAGGAGACTAAAAGGAAACAAACACTGGACTGGATTCCAACCACAACTGCAGAGAGCAGCAATGTGTTTATCCCAGGTTCATCTTTATTTACGGTGGCCATGCAAGCATTCGTGGAGGAGGAGAGGCCATCCATCTCCTCTCCTGACACATGTCTTCATGGCGTTCCTCTGGCTGTCGGGCTGTGCTGAGGCAGCAGCCTGCTGGAGCGTGGGCTGAGAGTGGGAGTGCATCAGCCCACAGAGACAAATGGCTACTGTGTACGTTCTCTCATTAAAGAGCCGCTGGGTTCCATGGAAACGGCGGAGCCTGACTCAGCGCTTTTGAGGCGGCCATAACTGCCGTGGCTTCCTCCCTCCGGGCAGGGCTGGTACCTCACTCACTCAGGCTCAGATAGCTACTGGCAGCTTTAAGACCTGCATCCCTTCATGCCTCATACGAACAGAAGTCAGGTGTCTCTAGCTCTTTAGGTTCGCTCATAGATAAGAATCTCTGGATATGGAAATGGTGCATTGAAAATATTTAGATTTAAGCCCCCATATGGAAAGGTAGAAAGATACACTGTGATCATTCCAGCTCAAATGCAATAAAAGTGTCAATATGTTCTTGGCCTTATTACAAGCATGTAGTACAAATACATCATTTACAACAAAAACATGAGCTTTTTCTGGACTTTTATGGTTAACTGATGAGTCTTACCATTACAACTCTGTGTCATCCAACAAGATTTTGGGTAACACAGACTTCCACTACTCATAGCTACATTGGCCTTACAGCTCCAGGGCAAATTTAAAGAAGCAAAGGAGGGACATTTGGGGGGTCAGGGGAGCTCAGGAGGGCTAGATCTTCGACTTGGAGGCCACTTGGAGGCCCCGGATTTCCTACAGTGGAAAAAAAGGTCTTAAATGGTAGTGAAAATATTACAAACTGTAAGGTTGTCAAAGGCAAAGGCACTGAGGTTTTGCATCCTCGTCCTTTTTTCCACCACACACAAATAAAAGAGACTGACAAAGTTGTCTTTTGATTATTACAAACTTCCAGTGGACGCTATCTCCATGGCAACGTTTACATGGCTGCACGCTTCTGTCAGTCGTGCAAATAAGGCAACGAATGATTTGGCTAAGTTGGTTAGTTGGTGGTTGTCATTCTCACTAAAACAATGTCTCTGGGCCTAAATACTTGCTAGCAGGCCCCCCAACCTGTAATCAGGCCCCGCCTGAAATGAAATTCCAGCTATGCCTCTGCTTTAGATACCAAACATGTCTTGGCCAACCAACTACATTTGAGGTAAGGGGAAAATTGTGCTCGTTTTTTTGGCAAACCAATCCTTTAATGTCTTAAATATTATTATATATACTGCCCTTTAAATGGTAAACACCTACCATCTCTGGATATGGAAATAATGCATTTAGGATATTTTGATTAAAGCCCCCTATTGAGGCTCAATGAAAGGTAGAAAGATACACTGTGATCATTTCAGCTCAAATGCAATAAAAGTGTCAATTTGTTCTTGGCCTTATTACAAGCATGTAATACAAATACATCATTCACAACAAAAACATGAGCGTTTTTGGACTTTTATGGTTAACTGATGCGTCTTACCATTACACACCTCTCCTCTTCCCCCTTACTTTGAATGTAGTCGATTGGCCAAGACATATTTGACATCTAAAGTTTGCTTCTATAGTTTTGCACTGGAGCCAAAATGTTAATATAAAACAACTCTGTTTTGTATTAACATTGGTTGGGTGACCTGCTAGCAAGTATTAAGGCCCAGAGACATTGTTTTGGTGACTAACCAACTAACCAACTTCATTATAGCTAAATCATTACAAAATTACCAACTATTACTGTAATCAGAAAGAAAAATAAACATCCCTATACCCATACAATGCTTTCCATGTAATAGTCTTAGAATGTAACAAACCTGGAAATTTAAGGGGTTGGTACTATATACTGTACAGTTACTACACAGAATTAGAGAAGTCTTATGTTCAAGTGGACTAACTCTATTTCATAGGATGTTTTGAATCTTTATATCAATACCTGAGATGTAATATTTGTGTTTTTTTTTTGTTTTTTTTTAACATTTGTCAGGCCCAAATACCATCTTTGCTTTGCCTCATTACTTTTCCATCCCCTCCCTTATCTCATGATAACATTTAACAACTGTTTGTTGAGTGTGTGATTCTGTGTGCTTAAGGATGTCCATTTAAAAGTATTTGAATTTGTGGGTGTGGCAAAAGCAGTTGCCCTGTTGTCTCTATCTATCTCTCTCTCTCTCTCCCTCTCTCTCTCTCTCTTATCCACTTCTACTTTCCCACTGCGTCACACTGTTGTGCTTGTCTCAAGGGTTCCAGCTCTTAAGGCATATTGTCTGACTTTCTGACACAGTGTGTGTGTGTGTGTGTGTGTGTGGCAGGCTCTCAGGAGGACGGTTCCCTTGGCTCTCCGGGATGGCTCTCTCAGGAGGAGTTATCAGAGCAGGCCTCGCAGGCCCAGGATCTTGAAAGATTGGCTCAGCTTTGCATCATGAGCAAAAGGTAAGAATTTGCCTGGTTAATGCCTTTACAGTGAATTTGCCTGGAAAGTGCTGTAAATGATCTGTGAGGGGACATGAGGATTGCCATGTGTTGACGTTCATGAATTCTTGTTTCACTGTGCTGATCGGTATAGTTTAGCATAAAGACAGGACCCCTGTAGTTGTAGTACTGGATGAAGTATGTGGAGTATAGTATATGGATACAGTAACTACAGAATCATTTGTAGTGAAGTACTGTCTTGTTTTCCACCTGGAATTATTTTTAGCCTTCGAATGAAAGTGAAAGATTGTTAGATTAAGCATAATATTGACAGAAAGTACTCTTCTGAAAGTAATGGTTTCCTGGGCTCTGATTCAGGAGGATATGATGACATTAATATGAGGAATGGTCCTCTGTGTGCTGGCCCAGATAGGAGGCGAGGCCTTTCTCATTATGGGCACTTAATGCTTGTAATTCAACATATCTGTTCATACCTTTTCATATATATGTATCTGTCTCTCTCTCTCTCTCTGTGTATATATATATATATATATATATATATATATATAGGTTCAATAGGTTGAATTCCCATATTCCCATCTTGTTTTTATTCCTGTGTATTTTGAGCACTTTAATAATACTGTAGTAATAGTGTAACAACAACAAGTCATTTGAGGTTATGGATTTATTTACATGATCTTTATCTCAATGAACCAGAACTGCGTACACAGAAAGAAAGGGAGAAAGGTGACTGGTGTCATGTGAGTCTGCAGGCTTCGGGTGTTACTGGGCCACATTGACATGGGTGTCCCGTTTCCTCAAGGGGCTTAACATGACCAGTGAGTCATTTGTCAGGCCACCACATACTGTACACGTGTGGACAAAGATCAATGTTTATACTGTTCCCCCTCCCCCCATCACACACCTCTGTTGGCACTGGTTACTGACCTAAAGCATTTAACCTTATTGTCCTATGGAAGAATTTCGCTTGTTGGTGCTACAAGAACGAGAATGGCATTAAACTTGAATGAAATCGAGATTGTTTTATTGGTGCCCTCATGAGATTATGTTTCCGAGGACACAAGGATAGTTGGTGGTATTTGCATTGTAATCTCTTAATCTGTACCAGTGGGTCAGGTAACACAAGAAAGCTGAAAAGGGCAGAGATTCAAGTTCTATGTGCCCAGTGAAAGGGTAGTCACATTTAGGTGCAGCATGTGTCTTTCTTCAGACAGCATCAAAGCTCAGAAGTTTGTCTTTGAAATACTGAATGTGTGTTTTCTTCACAGTTGGAAGAAACATCTATATGGTGTTTTCATTAAACGTGCAGGAAAACAACAGTTCTTGCCTTTTTTTATAGTGCTGCGACTATGAATGTGAGTGTGAGGAGAAACGTAAAGCAACTTCTTCTAGATTCAGCCCATTCTGCACCTGATAATTACACCTACAGTTACATGGGACATGAGGGGTGGGGGATGATTGAATATCATCCAAAGTCTAGTTCTAAAATTGTATTTGGATTCAAAATAGCTGAGTTAAAAATAGATAACAGGCAGCTGCTATCAGCACTCAGGTGCAGCTTAATTTTGGGAACATCTGCAGATCTTCTGAAACAATGCCCCTAAACCACACACACACACATACACACACACAGAGACAAAAATAATACACTGTGTGCAAAATTTCCATATGGATAAAATATATTACTTCAGCACAGTTATTGACAAAAGTAAGTAAATCAAATGACAGTGTTTTGTTAGTGTGAGATAATAGTTTGACTTAATTGAGTGCATTCCTTTTTTAGTGCACATATACCCTTAGAATAGCTCACTCCCCACAGAGTGAAGAGGAAATGGTTTAGCCTCTTGAATCTTTCAGTGTCGTGGCAAGTAGCGCTCCCCTTGCTGAGAGCTAAGCTATGTAACTGCTGATCAAGTGTCCCCTGCGGACAATCCAAAACAGAGCAAACTGACACCCGGCCATTACTAATTGAAGCCTGACCATGGTTAGGAACAACCTCTCGGACATCCGCCTTACCCAGAAAGAGCATGTTCTACATTCATAAGCACATGTAAAGGTGACCAGCAGACTTGGTGGTCTTTAACCCTGAATGTGAAAGTAGTAAGATATACAGTGCAGGGCTGTACAATGCAACTATATTGTGGCATGTGCTAAGAGAAATGAATCCTGTGCAAATATGAAAGAGGTCACATGTGCAAAAGAACATTATGTACTTTGAACATCTATCCATGCAAATATTTTGTCAAGTCTTAACACTCATAGTAATTGTAGTCATTTATGTAATGCATGAGCTATTCTTACTGCACGGCATGTGCAATATCAAATATTACCCCAGTGCCCAGGCCGTCTCCTCAGCATGGTAATGTGAGCTCTGATGCAGGTTAAGTTCTAGTGTTTATAGTAGTTGTAGTCCATCAAGTAATTTGAACAGTAAAACCATCGGTAAACAAAGGACCTCACTATGTACAAAGTACCCAAAGTTTGTTCAGTTTGGGGCTGTAATGTCATACGTAAAGACAGCTACAATTTGGGATTGTACCATTTGCCTGCCAAACAAAAATAAGTCAGCCCGAAAACATCTTTAGATTTGGAGGCTGAGGCACTGATGCCGTGCCTACTGCCATTACTATCTTTAGCCTTTGTGCCTTTTTATAACACTGAGCTTCACCGTTAGGAAATAATTCACTTCCTCTTTTAAAATCTGTTACAGCAACCACGATCCAGCTGGTGTGGGTTCGTGCCTTGGTGTTGTCTTTTTTAACGATGGACATAAACTCTACTGTAGTGCTAATAACACCCCCTTTTGGGGAATCCGAATCATTGTAGAGAAAAATACTGTACATGTCAGTAAATTTCACGTGCTGCTTCTATTTTTTCACAATTACAATAACAAATAATTCCGCTAATTATGATACATACTTATTAGAATTATTATTATGTTTTCATTTTAGTACTACTTTCCTAGCACTGGTGCTACATGTTCAAAACGTTTATGTACAGCCCTGCTGAAGGATTCTTGGACAGCCCTCAAGCCTTTTCTCTTAGAATCAGCACATGATGAAAGTGTCCTAGTCTTATAGTATTACACATGATGCATGCTGACTTTCAAGGTGCTAATGCTAATATCCTCAGGCATAATGAGCCATCTCGGAAACAAAGCCTAGTGTGAAGCTGAAATTAGCAGTCAAGTGAACGTGTGCGAATGCAGGAACACTCCATTGTTAGTCAAATATGTGACCCTTTGCATATGGACCCATATTTGCTGGCACAGGTCTCACGTTTCCACTGCCTCCATTAGAGGCCTCAGCCAGAATCACGGCGCACGTGTGGTGGGATTTGTTGTATACCGAGCACTGAAATGGATCCACATACCTGACAACACGGCATGCCTCACTAGGCCTGATTAAAGCCTGTCATTGCTGCCGTGTTTTGGAGGTATTTGTGTGACAGGGTGCTAGATCAGAGGGGTGAGTTTCAACCCTGGATCAGATTTAGCCTTTGTTAGAGCTGAACTACTTTTTCTAAGTTGTATAGTGTGTGAATCTTAACAGAGCTGTAAAACTGTATCTTATATAATGTAGTGTAGGTCAGTGGTGAGGCAGCTATTAGAAAAAAATCCATTACAAATTTCTAATTACTTTTCTCAAATTGTAATGGGATTACTTTGTTTACAACTTCTTGGAACAAAGCAATCTCATTATTTATTGCTGCATTACTAACCCACACACATCTGTGCCAAAGTAAAACAAAAAAGTCCCAAAATAGTCTTTTTATGTACAAAATCCTTTGTATACAAAAAGTAGCCAATCTTATTAAGCATCATTTAAAAGGACTGTCACTGTCTTTGCTTCTGAACAAGACACACATGGCTACATTGATTACACAGATTACACTTTAGGATGTCTAGAGAAACTTAGAGTTTCCCACACTCACGCTGCGATGGTCATACTGCACTCACGAATTATGTACTATGACAGGCATCAATAATCTATGTAGAGAAAACCTATGTTTTAAATGCACCATATGTAATCAATATTGTTCTCTTATGGCCAGTCAGTGTGGTATGGAAAGGTTCCACATCCATTATTATCCATTTTATTGTCATTTTCACTGCCTAGTGAGCCATATAGTATTTGAGTACCCAAATTTGGTTACCTTTCTCACTGGGGTACCAAGCATGCTGAGCCAGAATGTATCGGTGGAGCTAGTAATGGTTTAAACCAGTGATTGGTCAAACATATCACAGAATCATACAGCGTTACTGCAGTCAACCAGACTTGCTGTCTGTGACTCACATAAAACCAAATAAACCAAGTTATTTAACAAGTAAAACATAAATCAGAACCTAAAGCTCTTCCATTGTTGCTACTGTTTGTGTTTACTGTTAAGATTAGATTTGCAGGACAACACAAGGTAAAGGGAACTCTGTCTACTTTCACAGTTCTGTTGTGCGATGGGAAACTGATGGGTACTCGACCAGGGTAGGGATAGTCCTGTGTTCAGATCTGTAGCTGCACTGAGCAGTACCATACCTTTCAGTGGAAAACATCATTAGAGACATTTAGACTTTGTACTGCATTATGCTCAAAACTAGTGTGGATACATATACAGACATATAAGTGTTATGGTTAGTTGTTTTGGGTCTGCCATGTCTGTCATGTATGGTGGCTTTTTTTTAGCTGCATATTCTCTTTACCTATTGTCACTGTCATAGCAAAACATTGTAACACTTATTTGAAAACTACCTGTCTTTTACTTTGTGTAAACTTTTCATGGTGAATGGATCAATTGAAATGGTTCAAATTACTTGGAATAAAATCTCGTTACATAAACATACATTAAACTTAAGAACAAAGTTTTTGCTTATTCGCTATCATTCCTGAGCTGTGAGGATTTCTGACAATAGGGACAATAAGCAGTAAAACAGAAGTGGTTTTCTGTAATGTACGATTCCATGAACCTCTCATGCGGGTCATGGTTTGCCATGTGAGAGCTCTCAGTGAGGAGGTGACGTGAGGCCCTTGTTGAATTCTCTCAAGTGCTTCTCAAGTGTCAAGAGATGTCAAAGGTCACATGAGGCCAATGTTGAAGGCCAGTGTCAGCAGCATGTCTGACAGCCTCTCACTTGCACACACCATGACCATGACATATGATCTGCTTTACATTTACATTTACTTCATACAGCATACATTGCACTGTTTGCCTCCTATAGTTATTGCTTTTGACCCTTAGGAGCTGCAATTATTGCTGGTGATAAAAGCATGGGGCAGTTCATTATTAATTATTTTTCACCAATAGCACATTGGTGCACATGGAGAAGTATTTAAACTTTCTAAACTTTGTATGCTTTGTATCTTTAAAATGTTTGCCATGTGTTTTTGGTTGCATAACATAATTGACATCAGCAATGCAAACTCTAAGCTGTCAATACAGAATGTATATTGAATGCGAATGAAATCTGTTGTGCAATTCACTATTTAATGAAGTATGTAATTAAATCATTACATTTGAATAGTATAGCAAAACATAATAAATAGACTACAGCTCAAAAGTTTATCAACATTCATTCAATATATCTCAGTAGAGCAAAGATTGATATATATGGAACGAACATTGATATATATTGAATGAACATTGATATATATTGAATGAACATTGATATATATGGAATGAACATTTATATATATATGGAATCAACTTCGATATATATGGAATGAACATTTATATATATACGGAATCAACTTTGATATATATGGAATGAACATTGATATATATACAATGAACACTGATATATATGGAATGAACATTGATATATATTGAATGAACACTGATATGTATGGAATGAACATTGATATATATATGGAATGAACTTTGATATATATATATGATGAACTTTGATATATATGGAATGAACTTTGATATATATGGAATTAACATTGATATATATGGAATGAACATTGATATATATATGGAATGAACTTTGATATATATATATGATGAACTTTGATATATATGGAATGAACATTGATATATATGGAATTAACTTTGATATATATGGAATGAACATTGATATATATACAATGAACACTGATATATATGGAATGAACATTTATATATATATATAATGAACACTCATATATATGGAATGAACATTGATATATATGGAATGAACATTGATATATATATATAATGAACACTGATATATATGGAATGAACATTGATATATATATATAATGAACACTGATATATATAGAATGAACATTGATATATATATATTGAATGAATCTTGATATACATGGATCGAACATTGAGATGAAAAAAATGATAATATAATTCATAAAATGTTTTGTTTAGACAGAGAGGGACTTTTGGGGTTGTGTGTGTTGTAGCCTTGCACCCCACACACACACACACACACAGACATTGTTATTTAATGTTGCTATGTTGTTGTTCCTCAGTTACAGTGTGTGTATGTGTTTACTCTGTTATTTTGTGTCCAGCTCAGAGTTAGGGAGAGTGTGTTTGTGTTTGGTGACCATCAGAAGAAAGAGTAGGGCTAGGAGTGACCTACCTCAATTTTCAGTTGCTTTTCAAGTGGCACTGTTTTGCCTCGCTCTCAATGAAAGACCATTTTTCAAACAGAAATTATGGCCTCATCTGACTCTTCTTCTGCACCATGTCAAATTATGTATATATTGAAGCTCAACCCATCTGTGTCTTCACATCATATATCAGCCACTCTCAGGTCACTCTGTCCACGGGATCACTGTGTATAGATACTGGTCACTTTATCAGAATTCCCTTCCTTTAAGCTCCACCTGGAGTTTGTTAATGGCCCATTTATTGATGTACAGTTTTTCTTGGCCATCCTCAACCCTTCAACAGTGACTTTCATTCAATATATATCAATGTTCATTCCATATATATCAAAGTTCATTATATCATAAATATATGTGTGTGTGTGTGTGTGTGTGTGTGTGTTTTCTCTGTAGAAAATGTGTTAACATATTTTCAGACAGAAAATCACCAGACCAGGGTGTTCAAACTTTTGCATATGACTGAATGTAATTATATAATTACAAATTATTTTATTAAGACATTCCCGATGTGTCCAGAATGATGCACAGACCTGTAGATGATAAGCTAAGCCTACATACCTTGTCATATTTGTCGTAGATGTTCAAATAATCTGGATTAACAACCCAGTAATTACCAAAAACAGCCATTTATATGTGTGTGTCTCACATATGCACATCCTGAGAGTGATACACTAACAGCTTACAAGTGTTATTGGTGCTTACATATGTTGCACTGCATCAACAATCTGATAAACTGTGGGCTTGTTTGTCATTTTTAATCTTTTTCTTTGTTTCTTTTCAGGCCCCATCTTGCTTTAGAGTACAGCGGCAAGGTAAGATTATCATGTCTCAGAGGACACTAGTAAATTTTGAAAATGTAAAAGCATGAAGGTCTTTAAAAGGAAAACAATTAGTTAAGTACACTATGATTGCCTAGAGTTCACATGTTGTTTCTGTATGTCACAGGCCACTAAAATACACCAGCGGGCGTTTGGTAATGATCACCCCATCACAGCCAGGAGTCTGGAGCTACTGGCCACTGTCTACGCTGAGATCGGCAAGACAGAGTACTCAGGTAGATCAAACCACAGGAACATATTTGAGTATTTTATATTAAATAAATTTGGTTTAAACTAAAAGTGAAATGCTTATCATCATTTCAAAACAATACTTAAAATCCCAGTCTTACTACATACTAAGGCTTACTATTTAGTAACTACAGGAACTTTAATCCAAGCTGGCTGAGCTATTCTTAGGTTATAGAAGTGTATAATAAAACTTTGGGCCTGTGGCTGGAAAATGTGTTTTCCATTATGAAAAGTATATAAAAAGGTGTTTTCCCTTATCAGCTATTATTATTTTCAAAACATATTATATCCAAAAAGGTAACAAAATGATATACAGCATTTTGAAATGAAATGTTTATTTACTTTTATAGTGATTTATTAAGTGTTTTGTTGTATAAATGCTATGTATTATTGTGGGAGTACGCTTTTAATGTCAAGTTATGCTATCCATTTTATCTCGGCATGGCCGTCTTTATGGAGAGTTGTGGATTGTTTTCACAGCAGTGGGTGACCCCTCCCATTTCATTCCTCATTACTTGCTAGCAGCTCAACACAGTCACAACAATTCACACACAGAAGGCCAGCAGTGTCTTAGTTAACCTAAAAATAGAGTGATCGGAATGGCAGGATGGCCACTAGGGGGGCTGTAGAAAGGCTGTCAAAATGATATTAAATTAGATATTAGCTCAGGGTGCTATTATTGAAGCCAAATAAAAATTATGGCCTACAATATGTGTAATGCAGAAAAGGAAAAATTATTCATCATCAATAGTTTCACAGTCATGTTAAAATAGCGTTCTCTACCCTGCAACACTAAATTTAAACATAGTACATATAAATGTAAAGCTGCCACTCAAAAATCAATGAATAAGTAACCATGTACAGTTAACATGCCTTCTCCATCTTCGGCTGTAACGGAAGTTTTATTTAGACGTTAAACAGAAAGGCCTTTTCATGACTTTGACAGTTTGAGGCCAGGCCTTTTCTTCTCTTTATCCCATTCAGGCAATAATGTCTTTAGCGTCCTGAAGGCTAGTGGAGAGCTGCATTACCTCCTTTATTTCTGTTATGCTGTGAAGCATGCCAGATGCCCTTCCATGTGGTTATATACTGGGTAAAAAAATGTATACCGGATGTTCAACTCAGCTACTGAGTCAGCGGCTTTAAGAAAGTGCTTTCACTACAACATGCCATCCAGTATAGCCTCTTGAAAAATGAGGGTATATTAGCCATGGCACAGGCTGTGCTGTTCACAAAATCAAGATAACCACAAACTAAGTAATGACCAGAATATATACAGAACAGGAATACACAATATATCAGTTATTTTATCATTTTTTTAATGCTGTCAAATATGGTACACCAGGCACTTCAGTATGACCATCCTGCTTGTGGATGACCTGTTTTGTTTCAGCAGTTCAAGGCAGGTGTTCTTTGTCTCAGTTTTTGCATGAGGACGTGGTTACACAGTTGGTGAAACATCAAAGAGGATTGTTGACTTTGAGCTCGATCCCACAGGAAATCCTTTTGCTTCCAAAAGGTTACTTATCCACTGTTCTGCTAAAAGTGTATCATAATTTTCTTGGCTGCTCATTTCACAGACTCGTTGGGTCAGTGTGTGTCAGCTCTGTCAAAGAGGTTCTCTGCTGCTGAGTCATACAGCAATACACTCAATGGCTTCTCTCACAGCCATAAGGACAGACATACTGAGCTCCGGCACAGGAAAGAATCCCACCCACCACCAGACGCTCAAAAACCAAAGGTATTTATGATGGTAGTCTAAGGACTGATCCCTGAAACAGTAACATTATTTATAAGAGAAGGAAGAAAATGTTCTTAACTTCAAAGTTCAAATAATACAAATCTATGCAGATTGTTATATATGCATTTTTAATAGTAATAGTTTCTACTGGTGAGCCCACTGAGGAGTTAAACTACATCATTATAAAGATATTTTATTCTAATTCCAATTCAGGACTTATTCAGCTATCAGTATTACAATAATTCGCCTAATTGCAATTTCAGTTGATCACTATTTTTAAGCAGACTTTTTCACCTTTTTCTGACTTTTCACAGTTGTTAGCTTTCACAGTCATATGTCCGTTTACGTTGCTAAAGATTGTGAACTGGGTGTGTCATCATCCTTTGGGTTTGATGAAAATGCTTGTAAATAAGAAAAAAAAAATGTTAAATGCTTTTATTATGGCACATCGTAGGTCTTGCAGAAACAAAAGCTCTGACTGATGCTATAACATCTTTAGAGGGCAGCATTGAGTAACGTTTGTTTGAGCTGTGTCTGTCAGTTGGCAGCTTTCTAAGTGTTGACAGCTAGGAAGCAAGAGAGCTAAACAGCTGATAAGACGTCTTAGGCCTGTACTTTACCATTAAATGAACAAAAACAGATTAAATTGTTAAATCCATTTTGACATGACAGTGTATTTACGCACCAAGAACAATTTTTTCTTTTACTGCTGTCTTTAGGTCATCAACAGCAAGATTCCTACTTCCATCCTGAAGAGGACCAGTGTGGGCGGCAGTGAGTCAGACCCGAGCCACCGGCGGAAAACAGAGAGACGGGTTCGCTTCAGAGAGCCAGAGATCATCGTACATGGTGAGAGCTCTTACATGAGATTTGAGGAAACACTGAGACTGTTAAATCCTTCCTCTGGTCAGTCACACAAACCCCTGACCTGCAGGTCTCTCTGACCAGTTGTTTCAAGTGCAGCCTGCATCAGTAAGAACTAGCACTTGAAGGAAATGAGTAACGTTAATGAAAGATGTGGGAGAGCGCTGTTACAGAGCTTTCTCTGTAGAGAGGGAAGTTAATGAATCATCCAGGTTTAACAGCATACTAACATGCCAGAGTGATTTACATACTTGGTTAATTATGTATGCAAATGAGGCACTGTGCAAGTCTGTGCCAACAGGAATATATTGCCGTGTACAGTGTCTACAAGGTATTTGTAGCAGGCTAATTGTTTCTTCTTAGGGGATACATGAACCTTTTCTGCTATCATTTATATGATATTTAAAGGCCTTTATGAAATGATAACTGATTCATGGTTTTGTACTTGCTGCTGTTCTTGTCTGTGGGCATGTTTTCTAAGCCCTGAAAGTCTAAAAGGCTTTATCTCATCTTTCTGGATTGACAGACATTCCATATTATGACTGTTTAGGAGGTGAGTGTACTGAAGAATCACTGCCTTCTGGTGATGAGTTACTAATATGCATGAGAAAATGCTTTAACACTCACAGAGTTTTCCAGATACAGATTAGAACTTGTCTTTGATCGAGTTTTACTGCCAATGAGGATTCTGAGGACTCTCAGTGTGTTCTCACTCTTCACTGTGTCTGGAAAAAAATAATGGTACTGAATCGGAATGATCAGTGATGTCACTGCAGTAATGGCATGATGCATGGCTGATTATCTCATGTGAACCCCTTGTCTGATTTTTAGACTGTCTACATTGTAAAATGCAAATGACCAAATTTGATTTGTATGGTCAGACCATAGCTGCTTTGCTTGCATATCCATATTGGTTGTCATAGTAACAACACAGGCAGGCATCAGCTGATGGGTCAGGTAAACTGTGAACTTTCTTGTTGCACTGTCTGACATCAGAAAGGGAAACAAACTGGATGACAACAAAAAAAATAGCATCTTATCTGACTGGTCATGTTTATAGATCAGATTTGACTTCCAATGGAAAAAAGTCAAATTTCCTGTGGGTTTTTGTCATCAAGACTGCACAAAATCTTTCCCGCTCAAATCAGATATGATGAACAGTCAGATATGAGCTGCCTGTCTGACCAAAGCTGAACCAATCTCAAACAAGTACACAATATAGCCTCCAGTGAGTGTGCACATACAAATACTGAGAAACCACGAATATGAATAATGAATAACTGGTAGTTAAAGACTGTTTTACCTGGAAATTAAATAAATGAAGGGCGGTCTTTGACTTTTGCAAAGCTCATGTTTTTCCATTTAAGTAATGTATGAAGGAATGGAGTACGCAGCGTTAAAGCATGTTATGCCACTTATTCCATGTAAGCATGAAAATTTAATTTTGTCAATTTTTAAAAAAATGTGGATTGTGGATTCATGTCTGTCATCCAAAATGATTCGTCAAGCCACATAACCAACTAAAGCCTTTTTCTGATAAACAGTTGTTCCCATTCACATACTAGGATTTGTATTAGTTGCTTCTGACCTCTTTGGCCTTTGTCCTCTGCAGCGTATGACTCCTCCCAGAGCCGGCCCTACCTGGCCCTGCTGACTTGCCTGTTCCTGCTGCTTTCCGCACTGGGCTTGGCCCTGTACTGCACTGACCGCCGGCGGCCCCATCGAGCCTGTGAGGACCTGCAGGCAGCGCTGGCCGTCTACCTGCTGCAGCTCAAGCAAATCCTGTGGGGCTGCTGGATCTGGCTCACCATGCAGTGACCATGCCTTGCCACTGAAGGCAACAGCGTTCTCCACCCATACTCTTTGGAAGGAATGCCAGTAGGTGGAGAAGAGGTGACTCATGAGCCGCAAGCTATGGGGACATGGGAGAACCTGAAGCAGTCTGTGCTTTTTGGTGAATAGGGAAGCACTTGGGGGAAAAAGGTTCAGTTTTTGTGGCTTCAAATAACACAGCCACAAGGAATGTTGGGAAAAGACGTTCTTCATCCACCTTTATGGTCCACTATAGGTGATCAAAGACCATGAACTTCTGCACGCCACCTACACATGGTGTTCTTAAGCCCTTTATGATGGCTCAGTTGATGCCATATCATCGTTTTTACTAAGAGGCATATAAATCTCCAATCTCTGTAGCTATCCATCTGTTCTTGTAGCAGTTGTGGTCAGACCGCATTTCATGTTTCTAATGCTGTTTGTTGTCCCTGATCCAAAGAATACTTGCCTGGGAATACTCAATCACAATATCTGTGCAGTATGTACAAAGTATTCTTTGGATTCAAATCAATACATCATGTTGAATTTCACACCCACCTTATGCATCACCCTACATATCTCAGTTATTCAATCACCTGTGCTAGTTTTTCATTTACTATACAGTCTGTGATTGTCTATGTGCAAGAAAAACGATATTATTTATTTTACTATTAATCAAATATGCTTTGAATACTGAAATATGCTTTGAATATTGCATAATTTCACTTGTAAATAGGAAATACTAATGACTGTCACCTAAGTAAGCCATGTTAATGTGCATAAAATATTTGAATGTACCTGCAATCGTGAATACGAAACGGAATGGCACAATAGCTATATCTGCATACCTACACTCATTATTTCAAATGAAGGACTGTGATGCAAAGTCAAGCACAAATATTTCCATCTTTTGCATTCACTCAAACTAGAAACAAAACTATTTCACAATGAAGATGGCCATATTTTATGCGATGCCAGACTTAGTCTATATGGAAAAAGGGCAAAGCCATTTTTAGTTTAGGAAAATCCAGATAAAAAAGATGATTATTTCTATATTCATGTCAGTTGAGTTCATTTTTACAAGAACCAGCTGTACCAACTTGGCATCAGTATAACTATGATAAGTTTATTTATTTCACTATTTTTATATGTTTTTTCTAGCTATCCATTTTCTATAGTTAATATAATTTAGATTTTTTTTTACTGCTTTTAAATTCAGTATTTTATCTTCGATCTATATTTAACAACATTAGTGGTGAGCAGTTTTTCAATCAGACCTTTGTTTTATGTCGTTTTGGAGAGGACAGATTTTTCAACCATTTCAAGCCAAGGACATTTCCTTCACTCGCACAGTTACACATTAAATAGGTGTTCAGTACCAGCAAAAATAAAAGTAACAAAAAAATCCCTTTCTGTGGATGTAAATTCTTTAATATTACTCTTTGGAGCACACAGGTGAACTGAGCTATAAATTAAATATAAATTGGCATCAGTGGTTTATTACTGACATAAGAAGCTAAAAATGACTGAGAACTATTACACACTTCTCAAGGTAGAGTGTTGGTTGGTTTAAAAATAAAAAGCCAATAAGCCAATAGCTTTGGTTGGAAGTGCTCTCTATTTTGGAAGGCATGAAGCACTTTAAAGTGTTTTTTGTGACATCAGAAATACACACACACACACACACATCATCTAAACCGCTTATCCTTCGGGGTCGCGGTGGGGTGCTGGAGCCTATCCCAGCTGTCATTGGGCAGAAGGCAGGATAACATCAGAAATATATTTGTATAATCTATTTAGATGAGGAAATCCATATTTTACACAAAAATGTCTGGTTAAGTTTTGCCAGTGTTGGCAATGCCACAGCCATCTGTATCCAGGAGTACCAGAGAGCCAGAGAGTAGGATGGGCCTTCTCCTCCCATCACTCAGCACAATGCCAGCCAAAGTCGATGTCTGTTAGCCAACACAACAGAATTGTCAGTTAGTGTTCTCCTTCAAGCATGTTGAGCTGTCCAATGACCTAGTGTTACCCTAGCATGATGTGATTGCTGGTTTCACATGTCTCTAAGGGCGCATGTGCTAGCCTTCACCCTTCACCTTAGCTCTGTAGCATTGTGTTGGCTAGCGAATTGACTATGATTGAATCGGAGAGATAAATGGGTTAAAATTTTTATGTAAAATGAAAACTCCAACAAACCAGCTAACATTGTTAATCATAAACAAAACTTGGTGCCAACATGCTAATTGGACCCCATTACCTTTGATTAACTGTCAGGCCAATTAGCATTTTTGATCCTGTTAATTATTCTATATCCCTGGGCTACAGGATCTAAGAAAATACACCAGTATATTACAAAACACTGAGAGAAACTGAAACAATTTCTAATGAAATTCCCTTCAAAATATACCCCAGAAGAAATTAATGTCTTAGACTCTTCTACTATTTAATTAGTTACAGTATTTAGATCCTTCACACTGTCTTGTGTGTGTTTTTGGGGCTGCACACACCACACATTAAGACTCTTAGTTCTATTGGGATGTGATGTAAAATGAGCCACACAAATGTATATTGTCATATACAGCAACTCAAAGCACTGTGAGACATCTGGGTGGAACTATGTGTCTGTTAAGGTCACACAAAATATCTGTATGTGAGAACAACAGCATTAAGTTAAGTATATCATTGTATATAACTATGTGTATAATTTGAGCTATATGCAACACACCTGTCCATTGCATAGCACAATTTAATGCTTACTCTACAAATGTGAACTGTTTTAGTGGCAATATTTAGATAAAAGGGAAAATCAGCACAAAGGTTTGTACTTGAATTCCCAAAGCAATATGAAAAACTGAATTGGCTGTACACTGGTGGTTACTGGACATATACACCTATTAAGCAATAAAGTCTCTTCAAATACAGCACATATTCTCATTATATTCTGGTCTTGGTTTTACTTTGGTTTGGTTTTTTCCCACATCTCATTCAAATCCTGTATGTGGACACTTTCAATAGAAGTGCCTTTTTAAGGTTCTGTCCTTTCTCTGTCAGTTTATATTATGTTGTAATGAATCATCAATAAATGTCATTAAATAAAGGTCACTGCAAAGAGAAACGTCCTGACATTTTTTTGTTGAACACTAACATATAGATTTAACATAGAGATAACTTTTTTTTAACTGAAAGCAGCCCCAGGAACACCTACTTGAGAGCAAGTATGAAGGTAGTTATTAGAAACAAAAGCAACTTAAAAGTGTACATCTACAAACCCACTTCCACAACAGGTAGGTAAAATGCAAGTGAAAAAAAACAGCAGTAATTTCTAATCTGTCTTTTACATGTATTTAATTGAAAACAACACAAAGAAGAGATATTTCATATTTTATCTTATCTTCAACTTCATTGCTTTTTATATATACACATTATTCCAAATTTGATGCCTGCAACACTTTCCAAAAAGGTTGGGACAGGGGCAGTGTAAGACTGGGAAGTTTGTGGAATGATCAAAAACACGTTTTGGAACTTTCCACAAATAAACAGGTGAATAGGCAACAAGTGATGCTATCATGTTTGGGTGTAAAGGCGTATTCACAAAACACGACTTCTGAGATTTTACCATCTACAGTCCATAACAGTATTAGAAGATTCAGAGAATCTGGAAAAATCTCTGTGCATAAAAGGCAATGCCAAAAACCACACTAAATAACCGTCAATCCCTCAGACAGCATTGCATTAAAAACCAGCTTGCTTGAATATGGTTACATGGACTCGTGAATACATCGGAAAACCCTTGTCATTGTCGCAGCATCTACAAATGCAAGTTAAGACTCTGCTACGCAAAGTGGAGGCTATATATGAACAACATCCTGAAACACTGCTGATTTCTCTGGGCTAAAGCTCATCTGAGATGGATTGAAACAAAGTGGAAACATATGCTTGGTCTCATGAGTCAACACAAATTGATTTTGGAAATAATGGACATTCTCCAGGCCAAAGAAGAAAAGGACCATGCCAATTGTTACCAACGCAAAGTTCAAAAGCCAGTGTTTCTCCTGATATGTGGGTATCTTATTGCCAACTGCATGGTTAACTTGCACATCAGTGAAGGCAACATTAATGCTGAGGGGTACATGAACATTTTGGACCAACATATGCTGCCATGTAGATGACATCTTTTTCAGGGACTTCCCTGCTTGTTTCAGCAAAACAATGTCAAGCCACATTCTGCAGATCTGTCTTCCACTGAAAATGTGTGTCACATTACAAAGTGCAGGTGAGGTGGCCTGTTTCTCACCACCATTTCACATCCAATGATTTTGTCATTCAGAATATGTTTAATCCCAGCAATTTAGTTATGTAGAAATTTTGAAAAATCAATGGAATTCCTCTTAAATTTTTTAAGCAATTTATTATTTATAAACAGCTTTGTCTGCTATTTTTGGAATTTAAAAATAGAATGGCCACAAACCATACTGACTTCTGGGCACATTCTGCTGCTGAAACCTACACTTGTGTTCACTCGATGCCTCACCCTCCAAGGGTTAATCCAAACAACTTTACTTTAGCTAATGAAATAACCGAACAGCCCTTAAGATAGCATCCTGGATCCCCTTGAAGGGTTATAACGAGGCCAAGTTAAAACGGGCGCGTTGAAAAGCGCAATGAAACAGGTGGCAGACGTACTCCTACCTTCCCCTTCAACATTCAGCCTTGAGTAGCTTCCTGATATTTTAAGCAATGAGGCATTTAATTAGGCACACACTGGAAGGCAAGGCATATGAAGATTGCTTAAAAGTGCTAAGATTAATTCACCACCAACTACAAACATACAGAGAGAAAATGAGACACAGTATAATTTATGGACTGTATTTTATACAGGATAGAGATGACAAGTGTTTATATGATTGTGTTGCAAACACACATTAAAATGAATAAACATGCGTTTACTAAATTAATAAACACATGGAATTAAAAATATTCCATTAGGGTTACAAAATAGGTATTTGGCTACTTGAAATAGTTCATACAGAAAATGCACACACCACATTTTATTGCAGCATGCAGCAAACACTCGAGTTGCAAATACTGTCTGTCATACCACATGAAATAAATAAATAAAAAGAGTGACACTGAGAGACATTATGCGCTGTGCAACTGTATACCTTTAAATCATGTTTCATCAGAAAAAAACTGGCAAACGTCATGTTTTGGAGAACTTTGACTAACACATCATCCTTATAAATCTCACATGGCCATTTGTTTGGAAAGTGCAGGATGCTAGTGCATTCTTTATGACTTACTTATGCTAAGCTACTTATACAGTTGAACAGAGCATAATGGATCGCATATTGCCTTCACATATACAACTGTACATGAATGATTACACATCATATATGCATACACACACCGATTATAGCAGAGGTAAGAACAGAATCCAAGGAGAGAGTACAGTACTGTAAATCAGATTAAATACTGTATACTGAACACACTAATTGAAATACCGTTTCTAATTATTAGCTCAGAATTATTCAACAGAATTCTAGAAGGGAGACTGTGTTGCAGAATTCAAGCCTTTTAACACAGAATACTGCCTTGTAGCCCACGTTTTCATAGTTGTTTATACAAGCTGGAGTAAAAGTACAACGAGATATAATACTAGTTGAATGTTGGAAATACATCTAAAAAGAGCAATATGTATATCTAATGTATTTTAAACAGGGTTCACAATAATTGAATATTACTACAGAGTTACTACAGCTTTACCATAGATTGCAGTTTTTAGTCCCTTAACTTGTATACTATGACAGAAAAAGCTGTGGTAATCTCTATTCTATGGTAATCTTACTACTACTTTATTCAGTGCATGTGGATGTATCTCGTGCCTCATCTCAATCATCATATATTCAGCCATGAACCATGTGCTCCACAGCAATGGAGAATTAACAGATGTTCCAGAGAAGATCAGATCATGCCACTTTTCTTATCCACCACGTCGGAACAGCGGCGTGAGGAGCGGCCCAACAGGAACTCTTTCTCATGGATCAGGCTGTCCAGCATGTCCTCCTGCCTGTAGTTATGGTAGACCTTCAAGAAGGCCATGACTGTGATGCCCAACCAGGTCAACCAAGCAGCCCACAGTCCAAACTAGAGAGGGAAACAGTGGCATGCTGTTATATGCTCATTAAACGTAGTTAATATGCACTTAAAGGGATCAGCACTACAGATTACATACGGTCACTATGGCAAGAAAGCCTTGTGTCTAAAGGAATGGTAACTTTATAGGAAGTAGAACCTACTTGTGCAATGGCAAACTGGTCATAGAATGCAGAGTTGTCCAACCCTAGCTCCAGATCAGTGTCCTGCAAGTCCTCACAGCTGGAAGTGACAAGAAGTGAACATTCTTTATAAATCAATATTGGCAGATGCAAGCAGAATATTCCAAAAGATGTGCTCTGAGTAAGATTTTGTGCACTTGAAAACATGCATACATAAAGCCTAGCTCCAGCCCCAGCCACGACGTTGATCTCATTATATTTTCAAAGGAGGCCTCATCGAAAAGGTCTTTAAATTTTCATCAAAGCACCAGTTCTGACAGTGAATGAATCTGCATTCATGCAGTGATGTTTAGTGAGAAATGATGGAGCTTTAAGGTCACTGGACTGAAGACAATTAGTAAGCCTTAGGCCTGATTTCATTCTCGCAAATTGCTCAACTGCAAGAACAAATAGACAAATCAGTGAAGGATACTGGTTGAACATAAAGCTGCTCCTAATGGGTCTTAATGAGTCCATCCTTGTCTGTTGTACCTGTAAACAATCCAAAAAACATTTCTCTAAAGTAAGACCATCTGAATGGTGTGCTCACCTGCTGGGCATGCTGCCCCCCTCAGTTATGGCATCGCACCACAGATTGAAGCCCACACTCACAATGGTGCTGGACAGGAACACAGCAAACACCACGAACGAGCTGATCAGCAGGTTCAGGAAGGCATTGAAGATGGAGCTGTGCACAAATACAGAACATAATATGTTTAGAAAGAAGGTAATAATGGACAGATAGGACTAATTCTTGTGAAACTCAACACTGCTCTGTTTTTGTGAAATAAAAAGAAAAAATGACCACGAGAAAGTTACAAAAAAGCCTTCTGCTAAACAGTAAAGGCAGTCTAGGTTATATCCTGATCTGGTAATGGCTGAGTAACAGACAGGGTGCTACGCAATCACTGTCTATTACAAAACACCACTGTCTCGTCAAGCATTTTACATAATATAGCCAATAACCTAACATCAGTGTGGAAGTCTGTATCTGTCTTTATTTCCAGTGTTGCCATCACATTTGCCATTAACAGTGCTGAAGAGCTGCATATTGATCAGGTCATGGCTGCTGATTTGAATGTTGGATGAGCTAAGAGATAATCATGTTCCAATTTTTGAACTGCTACATAGCCAAACAACGTTAAAAAGTATATAAATATATGAAGTATATAAGTATATATATTAATGTAACGTCATACTGAAGTGACATAACGTTAAGCCTGAGTGCATCCCATTCATAAGCTGATGCCAGCATCCCTTGCACGGGCATGTGAGTGGCAGAAAGGCAGAAAACGTGCACTTACTCGTCGTGGCCTTTGCAAATGAAGAAGAGGAGCCTCCAGGCTTGCACCGCGGACAGGACGAGAGAGGCGATGCCCACGAAAGTGATGAAGCTGCAGGAAGACGGAGGTCCCCACTCCTCTATTATAAACCGCTGCTTGGACACCGTGATGTTCTCGTTCTGCCACATACCTCGCGTGAAAAGCAGACATTTTCCTCGGAAATCCTCAGTATTCTCCGAGAGAGGCACGACCGCGATAAAGCCGAAGACAAACGCCAAAAAATACAAGATGCACTGCGCGAAGATGAAATTGTCTTTAGCCATTTTCGCACGGCTGCTGCTAATCAGCCCTGGAGCTCCGGCAGTGCGCATGCGCAGTAGCGCTCTGCGGGCGGAACTACAGTACAGATGGGGTAGATGATGGAGAGGCCAGGTACAAACACACAGCATACAAGAGCATCTAACCCTTTATCTGAGCACGACTGTCTGCTAAATCTTTTTTTTTCTGGACATTCTTAAGTTTTAACCCAGGTCTGGTGTGTCATGAGGATTCATTATAGTTTGAAGAGATGAGAGAGAGAGAGAGAGGGAGAGAGAGAGAGAGAGGGAGGAGATGAGAGATGAGGAGGAGAATCAGCACATAAAGTACTGTAGGTTCTGTACAGAAGGTTGTTATGGTAAAGCCTGTCGTAGCAGGTTTAAGAGAACTAGGATTCTTTTAGTGTGTATTAAAAGTGAAATACTGAAGAAATGCTGCAAGCTCATGACAGTTTTTTAGACATTCCATTAATTTCCATCATTCAAACCCCTCACATATTTGACTTAAGGGCTCTGTATAATACCGTATTAGCTTTTTTTTTTAAGTTTCAAAGTATACCGTTCAAAGTAGACTGCTTTTTTAGAACACAATAAATTTACACATATCTGTGTCTTAAAGACACAGTAACAAACACAGCCTGTTTACTTAAAGCAGAACTATGTAACATTTGGGGATTTGGAGACCTCTCTGGTGGAAAGGCACAATTACACGCAACATTTTGTATGCCCAGTAGTGCTCTGAGCGGATGAATCTAATGACTGCGAGCGAGTGGAAACAGCATTCAAAGATGACTTAGTCAAAACTTGGTGCTGGACATTTTATTTCTTTTGAGGATGTGAGTAAATTATCTACTACTGTCATCATATCTTCATCAGTATACTGTTGATTTTGCATTTAAGACCTAAACACAAGGAGCTGAGCCTGTGTGTGTGACATTAATATGTAAAGATAATGTGGTTTGAAAAACTACTGCAAAATCCATCCCCACACCTCTGACTTTTAAATTATTATTTCAGGCTGCACGGGTCGACTCGTAGCAGCGCACACTCACCATATTTTAATATGCTTATTTCTCCTGACTTAATAAGACTACTTCTTTCAGTTTTAACAAAAAAGAAATGAACAGGTAAAATTTACAACTGGTTTTATATGTAATCAAATATCCATGGCTGCATGAGCCACGTTGCACCTTGGCTACAAGGTTGCTCGGGCTGTCTCCCTGAGCGACGCTACATCACAATTATGTAGTTGCTTGGGCCGGACGCTGCCTAGGTCGAGGTGGTGTTTGGCTTCATGAGCAACGCTACCCCTCCACCCCATCAGCTGTGGGAAGTGTGTGTAGGTGTGTTGATTTTTTTACTGGTGATTATGTATCTTGTTACTTTTGTAAAGTATCTGGGTTTGAGCAAAGCTCCCCTCTATATATAATAAATGTATTATTATTATTATTATTAATAATTATTATTATAAACCATATAAATGTCATAAGTGGACCTCAATAAAAATGAAAATATAAGAAAAATGTAGGATATAGGCTTTTTAAGGTGCTTTAAATAAATATACCCAGAGAACAGCAGGACACAGACATTAATTGTCCACTAGATGGGTTCAGTGTAGAGATAATACCAGTTTTTACTGATACAGATACTGATCTGATATGTAAAAACCATAATGATCTATTTTCAACTGAATCACTTAACCTAAGATGAGCATCTAAAAGTAGACTATCAACTACTCAGACACTCTTCTCGCAAGGCAAGACGTGATCTCGTAATGAGAATACAACTTGCAGCAAAATCTGTTGCCCAAAGCTAAACCCAGATTCCCTTAGTCAGTGCTGTTTCAGTGTCCAGAATACAATCACACAAGCAAAACAAGCTAGTTAGCAAAGTGCTACAATTGGTTACCATAACTGTTTTTGCCTGTATTTAATTATTTATTTGCATGTAATGTGTTTTCCACGCACACGACACACATCTACATGGTTCAGTGGATTTTTAGGGGGTACTTTTCAGCCTTGCTAACGTATGAGATATCCATGGAATAAGAGGCTTGTTGTCCATCTGACAATGTGGATGAGTCCCCCATTGGCTACTTCAAGCTCTACCTTCACTAGGCACTGGATTTGTTTAGAAATTTCACGCTCCGTTTGTTCCCACCCTAATAAGTCTACTTTCCCACCCACATGTAGCCCAAAATTTGGTTGTCTGCAGATGTTTTCGTTATGAGACATGCAGCCCGGTGACAACTACCCCCACAGAAAGAAAGACACAGCTTACAATATCACATCACTCAATATGAGTGTGTGCTATTACAGGCTAGCTTTGGTACAGAACTGGATCTGTTCTTTTTTCTCTGATATCTTAGTCAGTATTTTTGGCTGATATTGGACTGACACTGATACTTGGTATTGAAACAGACATCTCTAGTTTAGTGGACATGTGATTCCTACAGGTTACCCTATAGATAAGACACTTGCTTGCCTGTAGAACCATGTGTGATTAAACCATCATCCAAACACAGGTTGTCTTGCTTTATGAGATACACTTCAGTCTGTCTGGTTTTATAATATAAAACCAAAAAACAATCAGATGCATTTTCACTGTCCATTGCAGCCTGAGGCTGTTTGAATATAATTAATTTCAAGGATGTAGCAGCAACAAAAAACAGCTGTTTTAAGTTAATAATGGGGTTGAAGGACTTTATACTTAGTCTTCCTCAGCACCATATTCAAAGCATTTCTGTGCTTTTCTCATCAGGCCAACATTATATATAGACTATCTATAGCATATGGTTGAGTGAGGATTGTGTTTGGTTGGCTGCACAACTTATTTACAGAACATGTAATTCCAGGCTGTATATAGATTCCTGTGAGTCATTACTGTTTGTATGTCCTTCTGTTAGTGTAATGGACCAATCTGTGTTTGTGTGTGCACACACTATTAGATTCATTGTTAATCATTATGATTCATTTTTAAACATTTTTTTAGGTACAGACAAGAAAAGCAATACAGAGAAATTTGTTAGTTGTTTCTATCTATTGATCCCACTGCCAGTGTACATGTTGGTTTCAGGAGATCTAGCAACTACACACAGTGAATTCAGGAAAGCCCAAGCTCAGAAACATTCTGGATTGATGTGCACACTGCCATACCTGAAAAAGCAGTGTATTGTCTCTGCAGAGACGTGTGTGAGACCAGAGCAACTAGAAACTGCATAGCTGCTGCTGAAGCATCAGGGAGCTCATCAATTTTTAATGGGACAGATTAGCACCATCTCAACTAAACACACAGAGCCTTTTATAACACCAGGCTAAAATGGCACATCTGGGAATGTGGGTCATACCCACTGGGTCTATAAGGCCTCAGTGAAGAGACACTCTGTTCTTCATATTTTTATTCTCTCGCCAGAAAAAAATAACTATAAACCTAATTTAAGCAAAACTCATGTACTTTTATTTTCACAGAGTTCTCAGACCCGTCTAATGATTTTGCTCATATAAATAATTAGTGAGGGTGGATTATAGATTGAAAGGGTGTGTCTCTCTTTGGTCCAGCTAAAGGTTTTATCAATGGGAAAACAACAACCTTTACACAGTGGGATTGGCTACTTAAATAATTCCTAAACCAAACCAAAGCCTGGTCAGACAACCCAGTACTCCTCCAAACAATACAATAAAATGTGATCAACAGTATCAAAAGCTTTGAACAAATCTATAAATTGAGCTGTACAGGACTTCCTACAGTCAAAAGCACTGATTATCTCATTTAATATGTCAGTATTTGTAGATTGCAGTATAAGTGCTGTATTTTATCCAAAAACCAGACTGAAAGGTTTTCAGAATATTATTGATGGGTAATTGATCTCTGTCTAAACACTCAAGAACTGTAGCCCCTATAGACAACGCTGATATTGGGTGATAATTGCCTAATTTAATGGAGTCACCCTTTTTCAGCAGTGGCTGCAGATTTCCAAACTTAAAAAAAAAAAGAATCTGCAGCAAGATTCAAAAAGATTGGATCAAATTTATCAGGCCCAGGGCTTAAAGGATCACTTCTCTTAAAAATGACATAGCTAAATTTGCTGTCCTCTGTTATCTTTATACATATTTATTTGATATACACTGATTATACTGGTACTGGTTTAAAAATGAAGAAATAAAATGCCCATTAAAACAATTTACTATTTTACCATTTTGTTCCTATCTTTAACTATATGTAAAGGCATTAGAGACCTAAAAGTTATGATTCAACCTGAAAGTTACGATTCAGACAACCAAATTGTCATTAATGCTATTAATGCTGACACTCATTGTTTGACCAACACTTATGAAATGGTTCAGCTGTACTGGGCCCATAATCAACAGCAGAATTCATTATAATACGTAAACTATGTAAAAAACTTATATATATATACATATAAAACATAATATATAAATTGAAATTGTGCACAGTATGCATCATGATATTTAGACACACACAATGCACTAGTAGTAACATATTTTGAAAAAACCCTCAAAAACTTAGTACAATGATTTTTATTCAACATTTCTCATTCTGTACTGGACTAAAACCCATAGAATAGGACTAATTACGCTCTCTTTGTAATGGGACATTCATTTGCTCAATGTTCTTTAAGTGTGGACGACATCCACAATGTGCTCAGAAAAGTTTATTATCACAATAATAAAATGTATCATTATAACAATAAAATGTCCTCATATTGTCCACCTTTACATACAGGTAATCTCAGAACTGCACATTTTAACCTCATCTGGGATGCCTCCCTCCCTCTCTTCCACTCTCTCTCATGCCCGTTTGAAGCGTTTTCCCCTTCTGCCTCTTTGTCCTCTGTGTGAAGCTGATCCCTGCTCTGCTGGGTGAGATGCCACTTTACCTGATCCTCTTCTGCTGGTCTCCACTTGTACTGCCTAAAAACAGTTTTACCACAAATAGAAAATAGCAGAAAATGTCAAACTATGCAGTCGATGCCTTCTGGCATTTTTCAAACTTCATGAGGGAATTTTTATGTGTTATTTGCTAGGCTTGTTTTCCAGTGACATTGCAGTAGATTCAGAAATAAGCCTTGGTCTCTTAGTCAAAAAGCTCTCCACTCACAACATTCCAGTGACCAGTGACCTTTTTAAAATACTACTTTGACTAATGT